CTAATGGAACGTTGGCTTTTATTTCAAGGAGGCTGGCATGTACGAGTAGAGAAGTCCTACTGCAACTGTCCAAGGTGCTGGTGAGGCCACTTCTGGAGTTCTGAGAGCAGTTTTGATCCCATTATGTAAGGAATGATACCATTTCATTGGAGGCAGCTCAAGAAGGTTCACTAGGATGATCTCTGATATTGCCTTTCATACTGGATGAGCAAAAGCGAAAACAGGTTGAGACTGTACTCATTGGAATTTAGAAGAATGAGACATGACTACATTGAAACAAAGGCTTAAAAGGGCTTGACAGGGTAAATACCAGGAGAAGGTTTCCCCTCATGCGGGAGTTTTGATTTAAACCAGATGACAGTCTCAGAATAAAGGGGGCAGCAGCACCTTGCACAGTTGCAGTAGGGCTTCCCTACCTGTACATGCCAGCCACCTTAAAATAAAAGCCAACATTCCATTAGCCTAATGAGGAGGAATCTCTTCTCTGAGTTGAAAGTCTTTGGAACTCCTTGCCAGAGAGCTGTGGGGGAGGTGTCCTTGTGTATATTTAAGTATGAGATGGATAGATTCTCGATCAGTAGTGGATTCAAGGGTTACAGGGAAAATGCAGAAAAGTAGATGTGAGGAATGTCAGATCAGCCAAGATCCTATTGAATGGTAGTGCAAACTCGAGGGCTGAATGGCCTGCTCCTGTTCCTATTTCTTATGGTTTTATTGTCCGGAGACTAAATGCAAGTATGCTAAATTTCAAACAATTGCAACAATTTGTACTGTAGGAGAAAACGGCAAGTCGACTGATTGGCCAATGGAGGAAGCAACAGGAAACCAAGACTCCTCAAGCTCCTGGATAATTCAAAGGAGATGCAAGACTTGGACATATTTCTTTAGCTTGCAGAATGTGTGTTGCTTCTAGCAAGAAATGACTGTTATGAGCCATATTAAGTTGATCACTCATGGAGCTATTATCACAGTCAATTATTGAACAAATACTTTAAACCGTGGACTCAATACAAATAGATTGCTTTGTGCTTTACACACGCAGGATGGTTGAGTACAGTCCATACTCTGTCTATAATGTCTACGATGATCAAGCAAAGTAACATGCTGGTTGATTAATCAAACGTTTAGATATACATACCTGGCGTCATCGTGGCATTGAAATTCACCGACGACATTGCTCAATTGTGTGGTGGGAGGAATTTTTTTTGGACTGACACCAACAGCCCACTGATGCAGAATACCATTCATGTAGACACTACACAGCAGCACAAAATGGCTTGCTCATCTTGTTCGAATTTTGACTTTTTTTTTTAAAAGGGTAATTTGAGGTAATTCAGGTTCCCAAATAGCAACGTTTGGTCTATATGTGAGCCTGAATGATACACAGCAAACATCATCTTCTGACACTAGCCCACAGGATCTGCCTACCAAACAATTAAGCAACACTGTATACGAATTTCAGTGCTCAGCACTGGTGTGTTGTCTGATGTGCAGGCCACATGATTCAATCAAGGAGTTGCTAAGGCAAACAGTATGTTCTTTATTTATTTGCCATAAGCAGAGGACAAACTGCACTCAACTAGCCATGTACCAGTTTTGAATTATCCTGGAACCTGAGGAGCATATCATTCCTTGTTACTTCGACATACTTCCTTATCCAATGGATCAGCGCCCTTTTCTCTTGTAGTATAAATTGTTGCCCTGATCAGGCAAAATGAAAAGCTGCCTTACTTGTCCCCCTTTTCAGCGATACCTTTATTTATGTAGCAATAGTTTCAAAAGGGTTACAATTTTGATACTGTTAAAGAAAAATCGACACTGCAGTATTTCTTCTTACGTTTTAGAGGGCTGGCGTTATGCATGTGAGATTTCATAAGATGGTTATATTTTAAACTATCATGTTTAAAGGTAAAACAGCTATGTCCCAGAACATTAAATGGTGAAATCATAATGAACTTGTCTTGGAGATAGGTCTGTGTGATTTGGTTTCTGTGGGGAAAGATGCTGAAACCTGAGGCAATGAACGACCCATCCTTCACACTTTGGCGCAAAAGAGAGGAAAGCTGGTCTTTTTAAATGCAGCTTTTTGGGTTGATGGACGAAGCAGAGAACTGATTACTTTCAGAGCAGGATGCCTACAAAATTTAGATCTCTGTTTGGGAAGACAACAGATTTAAGTAATAAGTCACTGGAGTTGGAAGTCAGTTTGAGACTAAAACTCAATCAAGGGAATTTCAAAAGGATGCTGAAAGACACCTGGAGCTGCACAGAGACAGTAATCTGCGAAAAGGTATGTGGGTCTTAAGCTACAACGCTGTAGATCTGTTGAGAGCATGGTGTAACGCTTAAATGGTTCAGAAAAAAATTTCAGTTAATTAGTTAACGGGGAAGTACTGTTGCTGTAGTTTGGTATATTATCTGCCTAGATGTGTTTAGTCTCTATTGATTTGTGTTTGAGTGAAAGTCTTAGAAATGTAATATCTTGGATATATGATTCCTTCCATCGATTACTGGGAAAATCAAAATTAAGTTATCAAACTCGAAGGGGATCATATCAGTGTAAAGCAACATGTGATGGACAGAAACAGGATTGTCTCTCAATGAGGATCCTGAAACTATTTTTGTCCAAACGGAACAGTAATTTGTTAGTACAAGACTTCAGTATTGCTTAACAAACAAAAAAATGTTAACGAAGCTTTTCATCTTGCACTCATCAGGACAACTCATTAGACTATTAATTTAAGGGGAAAACCAACATTACAACTGCATGAGAGGATTACTACCATTCAGCAAAAAAAATGCTTAGTCTATCACACAAATATGTAATAAGGTCGATGTATTTCAGCAGCATGATGCTTGGTGTGTAGACTATAGGTCACAAAGACTGGTGGATCACATCAAACAGCATATCCCTGTGGCTGCTTGCAATAAGCAAAGGACTGACTGTACCCAACTGTCCTGCACTTGCAAAACTCGCAGCAGTATCCAAGTTCAAATGTGATCCCGCAAAGAACAACATTTTCTGGATAAACGTGAATGTGTGAAGCATTGCACTAGCAATTTATGATAGCTGTTCAGGCTCCCAGTGTGGCACACGTGTATACTGGAAGATACATATTAATACGCCAGGCTCTGTGCTTTGCAGGCAGAAAGAACACGTGTGTGAACTGCAACTGTTCCAATTCAACAAAATAGGTGATAGTCAGTCACTGGCTCATTTCTCAGGACAATGTTTCAGCAGTCAACCTGTTAGTGTAGAATTTAAACCAAGCCTGGCAGTTAACTGTCAGTCATTATTAATTTGTGGATTCTCCATGGCAAAACTTCTACCAGAGACCAATTGTCAACAACTAAGTACTGTAATCTTACAGTTGATTCTGTTCTTGTGAATTGACCTGCTGAGTGCAAGATGAAAAGCTTGGACAAAATGTATTTTTTTTTTAAAATCAATACAGAAGTTTAGTAAGAGAACCTTCTGAACGAAGCTCCTACAGACTATAACATGATACTCCTGGTTAAGTACAGAAAAGGAAGAACAGGAAAAAAAAAGATATGACTAGAGGACAATTCTATGTGCAATTAGATTCGGGGTATGGGGTAGACACACAACAGGTAATCAGAAACTGAATGGGATTATCCAAATAGATACTAATATAAAACACTAAAAAGGCTAAAAAAAAGGTTACAAGGAGGGGAATTCTTCAGCAGCTACCACACAGCTGAAGTCCCCAAAATCTGTCCACCATCTACAAGACACAGATTAACAGTATAATTAAATATACTCTGCTTGCCCGAAAAAGTGCAGCTCCATCATCACTTATGCCCAAAAGTATCAAAGACAAAGCAGCCCACTTGTCTGGCAGTTCATCCACCACAATAACCATGGATTTCCTTTACCACCTTTGCACAGTGGTTGATGCATGTAACATTTACAAAAGCAGTGCAGCACACTGCCAAAGTTCCTTCAATACCATCTTCCAAACTCACGACTATGACTGCCAAGGAACACAACATCAGCAGACATATGGTGGGTACTACCAACGGCAGATACTCCCCCACAGCTTGTAACTATATTGCTGTTCCTTCACCATGGCTGAGTCAAAATACTGGAACACCTTTCCTAATAGGAGTGTGGGTGTACCAACAGCACATGGATTGTAGTGATTCAAGTTAGAAACTCTTCACCACCTGTTCAAAGGCAATTTAAGTATGGGCAATAAATGCTCATATCCCAACAATAAATAAATAAATTCATGCTGTAATAAAGGCAAATAGGACAGAGCAAGCATACAAAAGAACACAGAAAGAATGTTCATCGTCCTACTCATGTAAAAAGTATTCTCTGCTGGTTCGTTGCTGAGAGATAGACATTATCAGCAATGAGACAGCTGGCTGTTTACACAGGTATAGCAAATCCCACAGTAATCTAACTCTCTCCAGCATCCCAGAAAACAAACAATACTATCTATTTATAGACCTAGAGCTCTGAAAGCACAGCCTTTGCAAATCAACTAACAGGAGCATTTAACTTCCCATGATCCAATCATGTTAGTTACATTAATTCCTTTGTAGTGCAATAAATAAATACTTGAAAATATCTAAATAGCACTATTTATTACAGCAATTTGGACAGAAGGTACATCCATCTTTTCTGGTGATTTATTAGTATAATGATAACTGGTCTTAGTTTGGGGACTGGAACACTTTCTATCTCGACCTCATCTACTGCCTGAAAGTGTGTGGGAACAGGGGATAGGGAAAGGGACAGGGAGAAATGCAGGTGTGGGAGCACAGTTGGTACAGTCTGAAATTGATATTCTGAATCCTTGATTGCCCCATATGCCCATTTTTCTGCAAGGTTAAAAGTGACAAGGTTCTGGTCTTGTGCAACTCACCCCCAGTTTCTTTTGAAGGGGAAAGGGCTTTAATTATAATATCCAGCTTTCAATGCTCCCACTGTGACAGTGAAAACCAAAAAGTGAATGAACTTGGATGCTCACCTTGGGTATGCTGTTGTAGAGGAAAGCTGGCATTTCTGTGGGCTGACTGTGACGGATAGATGAGGTAGCCAATTTTCGTCGATGGATAAGGTGCTGGGTGTGGCCGATTACTGCTTTGCAATAGCCAGTAAAACAAAGATCCTGTGAGACAGAACATTTGTATATTACCAATATGAGTAATCCAAATGAAAAATGAGTGGTGGATCCTCCATCTGTAGAGCACATAGAAGGGCACATGCTTTGAATCAGAGTTCCAATATGCAATTTGGGATGTCAGAATTTCAGGATTCAGGTTTCAATCATCTCACACAGTTGAATAGGTTATGTGTCTTCCCAACATCCCTGACTCCAGTACATTATTAGATAACTCAATGAACGTTTGAATTAATGAAAAATCAAATGGCCTTAAGTAACTGCTATGTCAGACCAGTAAATGTTGGCCAAATGAACTGCAAACATGAAAAAGGAAATTAGTCTCAAGCACTTCAGCTAATGCTTCAAATAATGGTCCACATGTGCAAAGACTGTCACAGTCATTTCATCACTACCATGAACTGTACCGAAACTCAAACACAGAAACAGCACTACAGCTAGCAATAAGCAGGACACTTGCAAAAGACATACTAATTCGAAGTTCACATCAGTGCTATTGAGCTCACAACAGATGACAATTAGTTGCATTTTTAAAACACAGGTTAAATTTGTCTGATATTAAACTGAGCTGCTTTCTTTCCCCATGACAACCATAAAATTCACTGCATGGTCCCACTTCACACAAGTGCATGGACACTCCTGGCAACTTTCACCCAAGAAAATCATCTATTTCTAGTAGGGATCAGTGGTCACAAGTGGACTACTAAAAGTAAATGAATGCCTGCTGACAATACAGAGCTAACAGGAAAGGTAGCTGCAAGGTTAGGAAATCCCATACAACCAAATTATTTTGGCGTTGCACATACATCACCAAGAAAATGGAGGGATATGGGCCAAGCGCAGGATGTTGGGACTAGTATAGCTTGGGATTATGGTTGTATGGATTGGCTGGCTTGAAGGGTCTGCTTCTGTGCTGTATGAATATGACTCCAAGTGCCTCAAGACACAGGGATGATTTCCTCCTTTCTCTGCTAACAGTTGTGTTCAGGCCAGCAGTTTGAAGGCTGAATGAATATTATCTCAATGCTTCTGACTCAGCTCTGGATGTTTTAACAAACGGACATACTCGGTTTCTGTATTGTCTGTTACAAATATTCTCTCTCTTACCTGGAAACTTCTACTGCTGTGGATGTTGGGGAAAGATGTGCAGGAATCCACCCATATGATCAGGTCTGCGTTGTTCAGATGTTGCCTCCTCACCTCACACTCTCGCCAACTGCGTGCATGGTGAAGCCTATAGGCAGCTTTCTGTGATAAAAAAAGAGCTAACCATCTGCAGAGAGGAAATGGTAACATTGAGACATACTGAATGTCATCATCCATATTAAGAGTTACTACACCTAAAAAAACAGTTGTCTTTCTAAGTCAGAATAGCAATACTCAACATAATACACAAAGTTCAATCTATCCATATCAACCCATTTACTACCCACTCCTCCCCAACACTCTTTAACATTAAGAGGGCAGGATTATAATCTGAAACAAGCTCAACAATCCAGAAAAAGTAATGCATTTGCAAGCAATGCCAGGTCCGAAAGAGGCAGAGGAAACAGCTGGAAAACAGCTTATTGTGAGGAGGCTAACCATCTTGAAAACTTTTTCAGCTGTTCATTTAACACAGACAAAATCAGCAATCATCTGCACTCCTGCAGTTTTTCAAGTCGCTAACATTTCCTTTACCAATCACCTAAAATCAGTACTTTCTGGATCTTAATTCTTCTACCAATGAGAACAGCTTTCACTCCCATCTACTCTCACAGAACCTTAAGTGACTTTTAACACATCTATCAAATCTATCTACCTATGTTGCCCTAGTCAATCTTTTCTGAACTTTAAACCTCTATGTATTTCCCAAAGTGGAGTGGCCTGAACTGGATACAATATTCCAGGCAAGTCCTAACTAGTTTTCAAAAAAACACAGGTTTAACACAAGTTACAAAAGCAAGGAACTTGTGTTAGACCTGTGTTTCTTTGAAAACTTGCTTTTGTAAAGTCCTATTTATAAAGCCCAGGACGCTGTATGTTTAATTAATCACTTTTCAATGTGACCTGCCACGATCAAATGATTTGTGCATAAATATTCCCTGATCCTCCTGCTCTAACTCCTGAACAATCATGCATTTTAAAATAGTCTCTCCACCTTATCAAAATGATTCCCTTCATATTCATCTGAATTAACTTTCATGTGTTACCGGTCTGTCTGATCAATCTGTCTTATGCCCTTTTGAAGTTTAGCATGTCTCTTTAGAGTTCACAACTTCCAACGTTTGTGCCATTCACAAATTTTGTCTTGCGTCTAGGACACCCAAGTGTCAATTAACAATAGGTGTTAGGAAAAGCAGAAATCTTAACACTGACCTCTGTGGAATTCCACTGCACACCTTCCTCCAGTCCAGAAGAAAATGCTGAGATAACAAGATGCAGAGCTGGATGAACACAGCAGGGCAAGCAGCATCAGAGGAGCAGGAAGGCTGACGTTTCGGGCCTAGACCCTTCTTCAGAAAGGTGGTCTAGGCCTGAAACGTCAGCCTTCCTGCTTGGCCTGCTGTGCTCATTCAGCTCTGCATCTTGTTATCTCAGATTCTCCAGCATCTGCAGTTCCTGCTATCTCAGAAGAAAATACTATTGTTTTCTGTCAAAACTAAAAGAACTGCAGACGCTGTAAATCTAATTGCTGTTCTGTTTCTCTGGGCTCTATCCCCATGTATTGTTTACTCCTTATCCCCCCCGCGCCACCATATTCTCTGCATATAAACTGGCATTTTCATGGCTACCATCATTCTGAGGAAGGGTCACTTGATCTGAAACGTTAACTCTGATTTCTCTCCATAGATGCTGCCAGACCTGCTGAGCTCTTCCAGCAATTTCTGTTTTTGTTATAGTTTCTTGTCAGTCAGCCAATTACATATCCATAATCCTTTGTCCTTTTTATTCCATGGCATTAACTTTGCTGAAAGATTGAGTGTCACAGTAGAAAGTACTTTGTAATTAAATAAAGTAACTTTGACAAGTTCATATGCACCATACCAGCCACATTAAATTCATCAATCCTCTACTGATGCAACAAAAAATCTCTAGCAAGTTAGTTGATGACAAATTCCTTCACAAATCTGTGCTGAATCCACATTCACCCAAGAGACTGTTACTTTTGTCCCAAAATAACTTTTCTAAAAGTTTTCCCACCAGTGATGTTGAGCTGACTGGCCTGTATTAACTGGGTTTATCAAGAACACGATTTCTTGAACAAACACATGCAATTCTGACACCATCCAGCTATCAAAGGAGGATTGGAACATTATAACCAGACTCTCTGCAACTTTCAACCTCACGTCCCTCAGTATCCTTGGATACACCTCATCCGATCTAGGTGACTTCTCAACATTAGATTAAGTCAGTCCTTTTAATATTTCTTTTTTCATCAATTTTTGACACATCCAGTGCTTCAACTGGTTTCATTATGACTTGGCAATCAAATAACCTTTTGATCTCTTGTTTGCTCACCCACAACCACATGTTTCTTCAAAGGACAGTATCTCAGATAAATTTCCTCACTGGGTGGCATTACCAGTCTATTTTTGTTATGGAGTTTACCCTCCACAAGACTAGATAATGCTAATCAAATTTACTCTCATCCATTTGTCTGTTAATCTCACACCTATGATCCCTCATTCTTGATCTTTTGACTACTTGATATCCTCGGCTTAGTCTTCAAAATTTGTAACAACAGGTACAAAGGGTCAGGTTTGCCCAATGAATTTCATCCGTAATCTATTTGAATAAACTGATGGCACTCACCTTGCAAGCATTCCTTGAAGCATCACATTTGACATTTCAGACGGTGATACATCTATGAGTCGCAGAAAAGAAAAGCAGCTTCCTTCATCATTACCTGAGTCAAAAGAAACATTTCTTTACCAGTCCGGCAGCCAATAACTGGACAAAGATCTGGAAGACATCTAAATGAATTCTTACCTTTTCTATGGAATAGAGACTGGTGAATGTGGGCTGGGGAGAATGGTGATAGAATGACTCGTAACCACCTAAATCCAAGAAAATGATCAATGAGAAATGAAGCAATCACCTACATAAGGTTGTGCAAATGGCAGCCACAAAGAACTGGTAGCTCTACACAGCCAGGCAACACTATCCGTTTCTGCAAACATGCAAGCATTCACATACACAATCCCCCATCAGCAATCCTCACAAACAAGTAAACTCTCAATCTCTTTTCCAGATATTTCTGCAAATTTGCAGTATCCACACCACAGCCAGAAACAAAATCAGCCCAACAAGACTCTAGATTAGATGTGGACTTCCCACAGTTGTGACAAACCTTCAAATCTAGCCCAGACAGAAGAGCGTCCCTTAACTTCAGCTACAAGGATTCAACGTGACAATAGCCTGAAGATAGATATTGAGCATAAGCCTACCATGAATCAGTAATGTCACCAAGGATCAGCACAGGGTGGCTGCTATGGGAAATTTGACAATGCTTTGAGCGCTAGAAGGGTAGCAGCAACTTTGACTTGCTGATGCTGTTAGTAGGAGCCTGAAAGGTTTGTGTTGGGGAATGGATAACTTTCCATTTGACATCCCATTCCCTTCTGCAACGCATTACAGGAATAGAACAAATTTTACCGCACAAAAATAAAAGTTTAACATGGATTTGTTTTAATGGTACTGTTGTGGCTTGTGAAGTACAGAGGGGATAACTGTGAATGGATGCTTGCTGACCTGTTACGACAATGGTTGAAGTGATTGATCTGCCCATCTCTGTAAATAAGTTTGGGAATGTTGTACGGTTTCAGGGACATATGAAAAGGTGATTTAGTTTCTTGGCGTTCAAACAGTTCTGGATGGTTACAGACCTGAAAAAGAAAAGAAGCTGAACTGAAAATAACATATATAAACAAATACACACGTAGTAATCATGACTATCCAATTTGTTCCTACAGAAAATTATAAATTCAACCGAGTATAAAAGTCAACTATTCTTTCATTGATACAAATACGTAAACATCCTGATTCTTGATCTATCCTATTTTCTTAATCATTTACAGGGGAAAAGCATACATATCAAGTCCCTGATGATTTGTGAAGCAAAAATCCAAAATAATGGTCTGTTTTCATTCCTGGATAGTACTAGGCATTTTTACTAAGTGAAAATCTCAATCCACAGTCTGGGAGAACTTTTAGGTAAGTTGCTATGTAAAGGCACTAATTCCCAGTCTGTCTGAGCCCATGATAGTTGTTGTCTGTCTCCTATTCCAGGACACAAGAAATAGGAGTAGACCATACGGTCCATTGAGCCTGCTCAGCTAGTTAATATATTAATAGCTGATCTGGGGCTTCAACCCCACTTCCCTCATCTTGTGACTTGAAATAGCACAGATCTGTCTATCCCAGCTTTAAACGTAGTCAGTGATGGTACCTTTTAAGGCAGAGAATTCCAAAGCCTCTCAACTCTTTGATTGATATAGTTTTGCCTTAAGTCAGTGCTAAATTATCGGCATCTTAGCTAGTGATTGTACTTCAGTGTTTTAGATTCCCCTACCGCATCAAGCCCCAGTCTTCTATGTCTTGATGAGATCAGTTTGTAATTCTTCTGAACTCTGGAATACACAGATCCAATTTCCTCAGTCTATCATCATACAACAACCATCCCAATCCCAGGCACTAATTTAGTGAACCTGTGCTTTTCTGCCTCCAATGCAATTCTATATTTTCTTAAATACAGAAATCAAAACTGCTCACAAACATGGTCTCAACAAAGCTCTGTAAAATTGGAGCAACACATTTCATTCCAATACACAAATTCCCTTGTATACCTTTATATACATATATTTGTTTTCCTATTTACCAGCTGAATCTACATGCTAACATTCTTCATTCCTTATACAAACATACATTTGTTTTAAAATGTGCAAAACTTTTCATTCTGCTTTTCTATTTTCACTTCTTCACATTATTCCTGTCTACCATCTTGTTGCCTACTCACTTGTTTACATCTCTTTTCTACCTGATCTCATCACATTTTAACTTTCCAAGTAAATTTCATTCATTAGATAGTATACGTTATGAACAGAAGCTCCAGTAGTGATCTATGCAGCACACCAGTATTCAGGGCCTGCCAATCTGAAAATATCCTGTTTATGCCCACGCTTTGCTTCCTGTCAGTTAGTCAATCCTTTATCCAATTTAATATGTACTTTCAACTTCACGAGCTCTTATTTATTAATCTTTTGTTTGGAATCTTATTTATCACCTTATGGTAATCCCAATCCTCAGGCATGTTACTGCAGTATTTGCAGCACTGTAAGCCTCATCTGTGAGGAGTTTACAAAATTACGAGAGACACGGATTGTCAGAGTCTTCACAACCTACTTTTCCCAGAGTAGAAATGGGAGACATAGGTTTAAGATAAATGGAGGTTAGTTTAAAGGTGATGCGAGAGACAGTTTTGTTTTAAAAATACAGAGGACAGTAAGCGCCTGGAATGGGGTCGCAGAGGAGATGGTAAGGCAGATATAATAGCAACATTTAAGACTCATTTTAACAGATATAGAATAGGTAGGGAATAGAGGGATATGGATAACGTAGAGGAAAAAGGTTTTAAAGTTTTGAAAGGCAGCATATGTTGGCACAGTCTTGGTGGGCCAAAGGTCACATTCACATGGTGAACTGTTCTTTGTATCTTAACTGACTGAGTCACGGGCAGCTCGTTCTGGTTGAGTTTTTGTTTCACAATTCTTTCATAAGGTTGTATTTTTGTTGCATGTTTCAAATGTTTGCCACTGATCATTTACTGCCATTCCTTTTTAACCTATTTACCAAAGTAACCAGCCTGTTTCCCCCCCATACTCAATTAGTCAGTTCTAAGTTTATTGATGCGATTGGGGCACATCACCTTCAAACTTAATTGGGAATTCAATGATGTTATGATCACTATTTTCCCACTGGATCTTTTACAATGGCATTACTAATGAACCCTGTTTCATTATATTATCAAATACATCTAAAATGCCTTCATCTCTCCTGGATTTCACAGCGTTATAGCTCCAGTAAGCTCTCAACAACATTCCACAAGCCATCTTCAAGACCACCCAGACCAGACCAATTTGACTGTCCCAGTCTATGAAGATTAAAATCCTCCAGAATTATTACATTACCATGGTTATCAAGCTTCAATAATGTTTTGTTTATGATTTGTCCAACCGTATAGTTACTGTTAAGGGGTCTATGAATATTCCCAGTGTTTTCGGTCTTCTGCTATTCCTAACTTCCACTCGTACAGATTATACTTAATGTTCTCTAGCCCTCTAATCTGTTAGGCCAATAAGATGGCTGATCTGATTGCAACCACAAATCCACACTCCCATTTAACTCTGATAACATTTCAACCCTTTGCTTAACAAGATCTATCTACCTCTGCCTTAGAATATTCAATGACTCTGCTCCACCACCCTTTCAGGAAGAGAGTTCCAAAGACCCTTAACTCTTGGACAGGAAAAAATATCATCTCATCTGTTTTCAATGGGTGACTTCTTACTTTAAAACAGTAACTCCTAATTCTAGATTCTTGCACAAGAAGAAACATCCTCTCCAATTCAACTCTGTCAAGATCCCTCAGGATCTTAGTGTTTCAATTAAGTAACTTCTTACCCTTCCAAATTCCAACAGATATAAGCTGAACCTGCTCAACGCTTTCTCAGAAGATAAACCGACCATTCCAGGTATTAGTTTGTTAAACCTTCTCTGAGCTGCTTCCAATGCATTTAGAGCCCTCTTAAATAAGATAACTAGTACTGTACATAGAATTCCAAATATGATCGCTCAAAAGTGCCCTGTAAAACCAAAACATAATCTTCCTACCTCTGCACTCAATTGCGTTCATTATGAACAAGAGACTGTATAAGCCTGCCTATTTCCTGGACCTGAATGCTAGTGTTTTGTGATTCATGTATTAAGCTACCCTGATCCTTCTGTATTGCACAGCTCCACAATCATTCATCATTTAGAGAAAATGCTGCTTTTCTATTTTTGTTGCCAAAACAGATAATTTTACACTTTTTCTGACCACATGGACAATTTGATATTTTCATGGAGCTAACCTACACTATTATCTGAGATTTAAACTAACACCTTTCCCTGTTCGGTCTTGTATGAAATATGTCATAGAATGAGTGTGCATTGTGACAATTCATAATTTAGGAAAATTGCTTAAAAGCTTCAATTATAAAGCAGAGAGATGAACAATATTAAAGTTATTTTGAATTACAGCACTGCATGATAAGAAGGGAGAAGTTTTAATTTCATTTTTGAGTACTGAGAGTGGTACCAGGACGTCTGAAGAATGTTTGTTTAAATGCATTTTTATTCGATGGTTCCTTTGAGATGGAAAGTTCAATGCTTTAGGAAAAAAAGTATAGAAGGAAAGACAGCTGATGTTCCACAGTCATAAGAGTCCAGTACCATTAAATGACAAACATCCAGAAACCAGGTGTCAGTCTCATGGAACAGATTTGTCGCAGCAAAGGTGTGGTTAGTTCAGCACTCTCTAAAACAGACTGTGCTGAAAAGTTGTCCCAAGTGGCTTAAAAGGCAGTTAAAGAACAGCTCCACGAACAGAAGGCTATTGAAATGAGTTTATGGAACACCTGTTAATTATGAGTGAGCTGAGGCAGCAGCTCATTTAAGAGTTTCAGTATAAATTATTAACTAAAGAAAATAGCATCAAGTAAATGCAGACATTTGCCAAAAGGAAACAGGTTACAGTTATGCAAGCTGAATGCAATAGCTATAAAGTGGAGGCAGGGTGACTATTTCCTATCTGCATGTTTGTTATCAAGGGTTGAATCTTATTTCTGAAATAAGGCCGTTTCAGATCATTCTTTTAGAGTGTGATATTGTCTATATTCTTTACCTATGTGAAAGAGACTTTTTTTTTTGTTAAAAGTACGTTGGTAGCCTCTGGTTAAAAAAATTCAGTGACTGACCACCATGGTGAACAGATTGCAAAAATAAGACTTCTAGTCAGTCAAGCCAGGTTACACTCTGGGACCTGATTTGTTCAGTATTCCCATCAGCTGGCATCATAGAATATACAACAACCTTTTAGAGCACCAGCTTACCTCTTCACTGATGCACCTGTCAAACCAAAACCAAGCAGGATTTTAAGGTGCAAAAGATCTTCATGATGGGAATAATTAAAATTGGATATACAGGCATAATTTAATTCCTATTCTGATCAAGAACTCTACCATTACTTTAATATTTTCATGACAATTTGATGCTTACATTTATAATGGCATTCTCCAATACCACCTTTCTGCATCGGTTCACAAAAGCAAATCCTTTTTCTTTGTATGGGAGGTTAGAATTTATAGTGGAAAAATATGACGGGAAATGATGAAGCTTAGACTTTTAATGCAGATTAAAGTGTGCGGGTGAGTGGAGTATACATAGAATCACAGAATCCCTACAGTGTGGAAACAGGTCATTTGGCCCATCGAGTCCACACGATCCTCGAAACAGCATCCCACCCAGACCCACCCTATCAGTGTAATCCTGCATTTCCCATGGCTAATCCACCTACACTGCACATTCCTGGACACTATGGGCAATATAGCATGGCCAATCCACCTAGCCTGCACACTTTTGGACTGCAGGAGGAAACTAGAACACCCAGGGGAAACCCATGCAGACATGAGGAGAATTTACAAACTCCACACAAACACAGTCACCAGAGGATGGATACAAACCTGGTCCACGGTGCCGTGAGGCAGCAGTGCTAACCACTGAGCCACCACGCTGTTGCAGAAAGCTAAGAACAGAGACGATGGAAAGTACTGACCTTGCGGAACTGCATGACTAGATTCATGAGGCTGCTGGTGGTGTTCTGGGCCTGCTGTGTGGTTCCCATGGATGACTGGAGCAGGTCTTCGATGGAAATTTTATTCTTCAAAGCCTGGTACAGCATTTTCTGCCTGCTTTTCAGCTGACAGTACATCAGGATCTCAATCTGCACAGGGAACAACCAAGTCTAATGTTTTAAGGGGCTTAACTCAGTAGGACAAGCAAGGATAAAATACCTATAAGGCTATCATCTGTCAAGTACCACTATACAAGGAAAGGCAGCAGTGCAAGTATCGGTGATCCATTCCATGCAAACATGCGTTCAAAGAAAAAGTACCTTCATTTTATTGGTAAATTTTCAGCAGGATCCCAGAGCATCCTTATATAAAAAAATTAACTTTGCTATTGATGTTATGAAGGCAAATGCAGCAATCTTTTTTTTTTAAAAAATTGTTCTGATATGAACATCATCGGTAAAGGCAGCATTTATTGCTGACAATCTACAAGTGAACAATTTGCTCGATTATTTCAGAAGACAGTTGAGAACCAACAATATTACTGTGGGTCTGGAGTCACATGTAGGCCAGAACAGTTAGGGATGGGAAATTTTCTCCCCAAAGGAGAATTAATAAGAAGGGATTTGACAGTAGTCCTGTGGTTTCCAGAGATTGATACTTTATTCCAGATTTTTCAATCAACTAAATTTGAAATCCACTCCCCCTCCAGCTGCTGGAATGGGATTTGAATTTGTTTCTGAAAAGCATCAGTGCACTAATATTACCAATATACTACCATACCTAACGTACACACCAAGTCCCATAAGGCAGAATGTAAGAGCAGGAAAAAAAAACACTTTTGCTAAGGGAAAAAGAGACTGGTTTAAATATCAGGAGAATTTCCTTTCTTTCTTTGAAAAATTTAATGGGGCCTTTTGCATCTTCCTGAGTAAGATGATGTATCAAATCCAATTTATCAATTGAAGTGTGGCACCTTTGGCAATGGAGAACTCTCTTCAGTACTGCACTGAAACGCAGCTCAGATTTAGCGCTCAAGTTTCTGAAGTGAGATCAAACCCCATGGCTTTCCCACAAGTAGGACAGTGAGCCGTCGCTGTGGCAAACAGCTACTTATGTATTTTTAAAATGAGAAGTTGTAAATATATTTAACGTACAAAACTCCTTAGTGCCAAAGCCTTATTACAACAATAGCTTACCATCATTTTGGAAAGAGGCAAGCCAGGAAATTACAACTGTATATAATGACTTTGATTTATATGCTGTATCTTAAATGTATACTGACTTTGATGAGAGAAATAAGATTACTGGAAATACAATTTCACTCTTAAAACACAAAAGTGACCAAATTAATGCAAATAAAAACAAAAGGCTGCATTGCTCTTTTCAGAAGTCTTTCTTATATCGCCCAAGATCTAATACTGATTATGAACATAGCCATGAACATAGTGTTAATTCTGCAATTCTAAAACATTTGGTCTCAAACTTTGATTCAACAATATAACTTCAACAGAACAAAAAAAACCTTCAGATGCTTGTTGTCCCCTGACAGCACTACTTTGTGTTGGTATTAGACTGCACAAACCTAGGCTCAATTCCTAGGCTGTGAAACTCTCAGTCAATTATAAAATGGTTCGAGTATTCTACAGCCAATGAGGGCATAAAAAAAAATCAACCAATATTTTTGCTGCAAGTGCCTGCCTATCAACTTTACAATGAACAGACCCAGACTGTAATACAATCCCTGAAAATTAATTTCAGCTTGCATATGAAAAGCTGTGGCCAACTATGGTGGACAATAATTAAGGCTTGAAGCAAATGTGAATCAGCACCAATTGACCAGCAGGAAACAATTGGCAAAAAAACTGAATTTGTTGCCAGTAGAACTTAGCACTCAGGTGTGATCAGTGTGTGAATTACAGGTGGCTAATGTAGAATATGTTGCCAGAGTGACAGGAGCAAAAAAACAGGACAACTTAACCATACCTTATCAGAGAGCTCATTCTCCACATCCTTTTTGATCCTCCTCAACATGAAAGGCTTGAGAATCATGTGCAAACGTGACAGCTGGTCTGCAAAAAAGGGTGGCGAGGAACAACTGCATTAATTTCATTTTGCATTAACACTACTGTTGTCAGGTGCCCAACCAGAGAAGATTCCCAACAATATATGGTCATGAACAACAGTACAGATCAGTTCACACTGGGTTGTGGACTCAGTACAGAATTGATCTGCAAAGATATGTGCAACCAAACATTGCTCGTCACACAGACAGCAACCCAAAACAAAACTCTCAAAAATATTTAACACCAACATAAGAGGAGGACTAGGAGAAAAATGCAGCTATAGAAATAACCACCTCACAACCAACCCCAAAGCTCCCTAACCTAGCCCCACAGTGTTGAGAACAAACTGTCATGGTTACTCCCACTAATCCAAGAATCACTGCTGTGACACAAGGAGCTTTAATTCCCGCCACAGTATGCGGCCTACTCAGATACATAATACCAAACATCAAAGTTTACAGTGCTTATTCAATAGGAATATGAATCAAGTCATGATGTGTGTAGCCTGGAGGGGAACTTGCAGGTCATGTTGTTCCCATCCATCCATGCGACAAGATTTACATGGCTTGTCTAGTTCAGCTTCTGCTCAAAAGGTAACCTCCAGGAAGTTAATAACAAATGAGATGTCACAGGAAACATTCTTACCCAAAAGGAAACCAAAGTTGTGGATTAAATTACCATGAAAGTATCTTGAAGTCGAAATACAAATAGAATTATCAATAAATGAGACTTATCTGAGAGAAAAGTGAGGGCATGTAGCGAGAATCGAGCTTGGTAAGTTTAGTCGGTTAAAAAGAACTGGACTGGGGAATTAGTTGGTCTTTTCTTGATTCTAATAAATAATGCTTCCATGACAGATACCCCTCTAGTTCTGGCAGGACATTGCTCTCAAATTTCACCAGCGTGCTCCCTCTTAAGGTTTTCTTTAGATGTGCGTGAAGAAAGTTTGTAACAGCTTCTCCTCCCCAAAGAAACCGAAAATATAGACTTCAGGAAGGGACAGTCTGAGGGTACTGACTGCAGACAGGTCAGAAGTCATTGAAAATACCATGGCACTGATACCACACAGTAGGTACAGATTCCAGACATGTCAGTTGTCCTTGAAAATATGGTGGTACAGACAACCATACAGTATTAATTCTAGATCGGTCATAAGAAAAAGGCAGAGTGTTACCCATTCCAGGCTTATCAGTACAAAGTTGAGTAAACAAGAGTCTGCTGGATTGCCCAGGAAACTGAGTGGTTTCTGGGACTGTGTACAATAAAACAGCAAAGATTATTGCAAAACAGCACTTACTCTCATCGATGGCAGACTTGTTCTCAGCATGGCTTTCAATATCTTTGGAAAACCACTCGTTGAATTCATCATGGGAATCAAAGAGAGTCGGCATAATAAAGTGTAGCAGCGCCCACAACTGAGGTGAGAAATAATACAGCAATAAAACTGGATGAATCTTTTTTACATGGACAGTCTAGATAAATTCCTGACCCCTCTACCCTAGAAGACATGTACTAAAAGTATTAACACCCAAGATATTCACTTTCAATAGACATAATTTCAGTATTTTTCTGCCACATGCTTTTCACAAGATACATTTCTCCCTTTCCATCCATTCAACAGCACGCTCATCAGCCAGAAAGTATGAGGAGCTCAGCAGCAAAAGGAACCACCTTGTTTAAAAGGGAACTAATTGGGCTGATTCATACTTCTGAGAAGGAGATTGTTTGAGACAGGTAAGGACCACAGGGTAAGAAGAATATAATAGTGAGGACAGACAGGCCTACATGAAGAGGATTACAATCCCACAGGGCGAGATGACGGACAGATGCAATCAGGATCACAGTTCCCCTGGGCAAAACAAAATCATTTACATTTTGTATTCAAGACTTCTCTCTCTAGACTGCTCAGCCACTGGAAACAGTCTACTTCTATCTACCCTGTGCCATTCTTTCATAACACTTCTATCAAAAATCAGAAAGAAAGAAAAAAAAATTACAGATTGCTAGGTGTCCCAAAGTAATTTCTCAACGTAAAAATGTGATTTTTTCAACAGGCATCCTAGACACAGTTGCCAGTAAGCACCTGTAATAAATACAGCTATCACGTGTAGGGTCCTTAAACTTACTGACCTCTGCCATAGTGTTCTGAATAGGGGTCCCTGTCAGCAGCAACCGGTTCCGGCACTGAAACTGCAGCAAAATCTTCCAACGAACGCTGTGAAAAGCGAAGAAGAACTCAGAAAAGAAAAATTCATGTGCAAAACACCAAAGTACCTCTATACCTAAGCCATGCACAATATCTACCATTCTCAACCTCTGTGCATAGTGCAACCAGTTTAATCAAGTTCCTGGGGAGAACCCATAAGCAAAATCATTGCTCCCTATTCCTTCAAAAACCAATCGTGGAAAATATAAAAATAAAAAAGCAAAATAACATTTATTTAAATAAGAGAGTATATTGTATCTAGTCAGAGATAGCGAAAACTACAGATGCTGGAGTCAGAGATCAAAGAGTATGGTGCTGGAAAAACACAGCAGGCCAGGCAGCATCGAGGAGCAGGAAAGTTGACATTTCGGGTCGAGACCCTTGCTGAAGAAATCTAAAGAAGGGTCCCAACCCGAAATGCCAACTTCCCTACTCTGATGCTGCCTGGCCTGCTGTGTTCCTCCAGCTCCATATTGTATCTAGTACTGTTAAACCTTATGAAACAGCTAGGTAGGCATCAATTGTCAGTTAGCAAGTAATCACTCAGTCACAGGAAGTGGGGAGAAATTTCAGTTAGACGCATGTGGAAATCTTCTTTTCAGCTAATGATTTAGCAAGTCTTCCAACGACTGTGCTTTGGCCGTCAGTAAGACCAGCAGGCAAAGGGATATTCAAAGTTATGTGGAGTAAGATACAATTTCAGCCATTCATTCCATGATAGCAAAATGTGAATCTTCTTTAGAACAAAGTTCCACGTAATTAACCACATCTACTTGGACAAATTGGGAATAAATTGTCTTCAGGTGACACAAGGCTCTCTACCAACAAGTGGGAACAGCATTTGTTTCCCCCAGTATGTTGTCAATATCTGCATTTCCTGCTGTACACCTGCCATCCAGTTCCAGAGGTCAAAACCCGATAAATACGCAAGGATTTTAATTTGAGTGGTTTACCTGGAGCTGCTTTTGAGTGCCTGGGCCTCATCCAGCACCATGTACTGCCATTTTACCCGTTGAAAGTATTTCACATCCTGAACCACCAGCTGGTAACTGGTTATCACCACATGGAACGGTGCATTTTGGGTGTACAATGTTTTCTAAAACCAAAAGAAGCAAGACAGCAGTTACTAGCAACTAATTGCCAATGTCAGTAAAAGATTACAATGTGGCTGCAGACGGAATGAAATACCTCACGATGTCCTACGCCACCCAAAAACCCAGTGGCAACAGGAATTATTGAACTTGCAACAAATCATCCAGCTGCCATAGATGACAGCAACATTTGAAAATATGCAGTAACTTCGTTCACAGCCTTAACAGAAAGGAACATTCAGCTTTAAGTGTGCTAGAAAGTACTGTGTAATAATATTGAATACAACTTGAGACAGACCATCATTTGCCGGTTTTTCCTTAGCAAGCGCATTGCTTCTGACTGCCATAACCTATTGGCCTGAATACAGTTTATACTGATTAGCCAGATCTAATTCATGACCATCTCTCAATTCCTTAAGCAAGTTGTTCAATTGCTCAGAGTCCTGAATCAAAATGAATCTGTTCCAATTCAACATTAGGAAGACTGAGGGCACTGTACATGGCTTAGCATCTGAATCCTGCCATGTCCCTAGCAGCTTCCTAGACCTAGCCTGAGAGAAACCTCGCAGTCCTGTTTAATTTTGAATTCAGCTACAAACGTCAAAGGCTAGCCATAAAAACGGATCATTTCCAACGCGTCAATACTATCCTTATGATCACCTTTGTAATTTCACTGCCACTGAAATCCTTGTCCACACCTGCTGCATTCAGATTAAATCACACCAACATTCTACTTGCTAAATTCCCATGTCCAAGACTTCAGAGAAGTGCAACACACTCAAAATTCTGCTATTCACTTGTTGATCCCACACCCAGCCTCAACAAGAACTGGGTAGGAATATCAGCTATATGTAACATTTTCATATATTATGAGTTTGCAGGTCTCCCAATGCTATGTTTGGGCCAATGAGCTAATCATGTGTAGGGGCATCCAAAGTTATCATCTGTATTAAGATACAACTTCATCAGTTCCAGGATAGCAGAATGGAGAGTCTTCATAGTTTATCATCTGCATCCTGATCCAAGTGCATTGACTCCTCATCTCCTCATTTTTAAAATCCCTGCACTTATTTCTTAGACACCCTCTAGGTCTCAACTCTATCCAACTTAGTTGAACTTGTTCCTGCAGTCTCATTCCTCACCTCCTTTGCATCTTAATACATTGATTCCTTCAGCTCCTGAACTTTCAATTTTGTTGCCCTATGTTCTCCTTGCTTCCTGACTGCCCTTCCAGTAAAGCTTTCCAACTGATCATCACACACTCTCCTTCCACTCCATCAGAATATGTGAAGTCACCCAGAAATGATGATCAAAGTTGACCTGCGTGGCTTAGTATCAGTTATTTATTTGTGCATGAGCTGAGAAAGATTCCTTCTCTTAGCCATTCTGGGCTATTGTATTACCGAATGGCTTATTAGGGGGTCTGATAGGTCTGGAATAATCAACAGCGCTGGTAAGAGACTGGAATTATAGGTACCTTCACATCAATGACCTTTTGTGGTAACATTCTAAAGGTACACGTATTGGCTTCAGTTCCTCAATTTGCTACATCAGAATTAAAACTCAAATTTGGAATTGCCAATATGACATTTATGTAGCAGCTTTAATGTAGTAAAATATCTTAATATACTTCAGAAGAACAAATGACAAAATCTGACACAAAGTTAATCAAAAATAGATGTCAGGATACATGATTCAAAGTCTGGTCAACAACTAAGAACATAAACTGGAAGAGAAAACAACCATATGGCCTCTCGATTCTACTCTGCCAATCATTACGATTATCTGCCTCAACTCTGTTTTCCACTCACTCCTTACAGCTTTTGATTCTGACAAATAAAACTAATTGGACTTTTAAGAAGATCATAAAAGCAGAAAAAGATGGAGAGATTATGAGAGGAAATTCCAAAACTCAGGACCTAGATGGTAATGGCAGAGCTGCCAACGGAGGTGAAAAGCAAGCGATGGAGGGACAAAAAGCAAGTACTAGAGGTGGAGAGAGAACAATGAGGTTGAGCACGGCTGTTGAGGGAGCAAGACTATCAGGATTACAATTTCAAACTGAAGTGTTGCTGCACCAGGAGTGCCAGAGGCCAGTGAGCATATGGCAGTTGTGTGAATGGAACTTGATACAAGTCAAGGTGGGAGTAGCAGATGAGTCACCATGGCCTGCCTCTAGCGATCTGTCCCCACCACCTCTCTCTGTCCAATTGAGGCCACAGTGTGAGTGCTAACACATGGATACCTTTTTGCTTCTCTATTTAGAATTTAAGGACATGTGCAGTGTGCATCCCCACCTCTGAGCCAGAAGCTCAAAGTTCAAGTTCCACAAGACGACTTGTTGGCCAAATAAGGTGTATTCATAACATAGCCAATCAAGTAGATTGTCAACCTGTTAAGCCTTCCAACACAACTAATGGAAAGCCGTAACAGCAAGAGAGTATTTCCTAGTCAGCCATCCTGAAGTAGGGAATGGCAAAGTATGGCAAACCATTGCAGTAATTTGCTCATAAGTATGGACTGATTCTATACAGGTTAACAGCTGAATGCTCTGAAAATTACAATGGGGGAAATGACAGAAGCAGCCTTGGATTAGCTATTACTCGTGAACAATTCCAGACTGAACTCAGGAGATATCCATACTGGGTTTTCCTGGCCATTTTGAATTCAATTACCAGGCAGTGAGCAGCCCAATAAGTTTTGAGGGAGAAAATGGATTAGGACCCCAAACTGAACAGCTCACACAGGTATCTCTACCTCTTCAGACATTAGTACCAAGTAGATATCATTCAGATAGGAGTCAGAGTAAACTTTACCTGGCTCCAGAACTTCCTTATCACCTTTCTGTCATGTGGGTTCCCCCAGTAAGGCAACACCTAAAAGTGGAAGGAGAAAAAGAACTGTAAACATTTCGGAAGTTACCCTCTGCAGCACTTAGCATATCAGGAAAAAATACAAGTTAGTAAAATGAAGAAAAATCTTGCATCATTTCAACATCTTATCATACCCTTGCTAAATGTATTATTTTTTCCCCAAATGTAAATGCTGCTTTAATGCAGACAGCAGCTAACCTGTGCATAGCATGGTTTCACAAATGGCAATTGGATACATGACCAGCTGCTTTCAGTTTTGGTAATAATGTTGAGAGATAAATGTTGGTCAGGCCTGCTCAGAGTGCAATGGTTTCTTCTCCTCATGGAAGGACAGCAGGCAAGAATGGGAAACAGATCCAGATCGGTTTTGAGGCTATACTGGAACCCCATACAAATGCTGCTGTGATAAATTCAGTGAAATAATTCTGCAGTCTATGTTACTTCAGATTTGCTTGCACAGGAAATTTAGGGAATGAATTTCTTCATCCATAGTTGGAATGAGGGCCCAGGTCGGGGTGAATGGCGCTTTGTCTGTCAGCATCCAGAATGAGGTATGGTGTTTGGATAGTGGACCCACTGACTGGAGTCACTCTACCTTGCTTTGGTAGAAGGGAATTCAGCCGGTCATCATTATCATATTTTATCACTGCTAACTGTATACCAACAAATGTGCAAGCAGCAGATATGGATAAAGAAGCCTCTCTTTCTCTCCACCTATAAACTCTGTTTTCAGAAAATGGCTCAACAGCAGAACTATTTTATTGTATCTTATATTTGTAATCAAGAGAGTTATATAGGCAATGTTGTTCCTCAAAGGCTAAACATCTCCTCTGAAAGACTGTACTTTGAACCCCTGCTCATCAGCAGTCTACCTTTCCCTGAGCTAGTGTTCCAAAGACACAACTTAAATTTAACAGAAAACTTCTCACATAGCTTAAACGGGCAATCTTTTATTTTTTGAAATGACTCTAATTCCAGCTTCCCCAAAAGAGGAAACATCCTTTCCACATCCACCCTGACAATGCCTCTCAGGATTTTATACAGTTCAATTAAGTCACTTCTTATTCTTCTAAACTCAAGCATATACAAGCCTAGCTTATCCAACCCATTGTCATAAGGCAACCTGACTATTTCAGGTATTAGTCTAGTAAATCTGAATTATTTCCAACACAGTTACACCTTTCCTTAACTGAAGGGACCAATACTCTTTTCACATACTCCAGATGTGGGCTCACCAATGCCCTGGACATGAAGAATAACCTCCTTACATTTGTATTCAATTACCCTTGCAATAAAAGGTAACATTCTATTGACTTGGTTAATTACTTGCTGAACTTACATAATAATTTTTTGCATTTCAATCACAAGAGCATACAACTCTTTTTGCATCCCAGACCATTGACCTTTATTATTCTTGCTGCCAAAATGGACAATTTCACATTGTCCCACAATATTCCATTTGCCAGAACTTTTGCCAAATCACCTGGCAAACTTCTACAAACACCGTACAAACTACAGCAGTAAATATTTGACAATAAAAACCTTCGCAAATCAACACAACATCCTAGTGCATGTCATTACACTGCACTGCAGTGAGATCCGGATTATGTCATGCAACAGCACTCACGAAATTCAATCAGCAATTTCTCCTCTGGATTCAATGGGAGATCATTAAACAGATATTAGCATTTTTTTCTTGAAGCCTGCTGCACAAGCATTCAAGCAAAACTCCTGTGAAGTCTAATACAATGCACTAGACAGATGGGTCCAAGAGGCCAAAATCTGTATTCCCCTGACAGGTGCTGTTTTTGTAACTCTCAATGGCCAACATACCAGGGGAAGACAACAAAAACGTTTTGAAAGTGCTCTAAAATTCTTCTTGAAGCACATCAGCAATGACATCAATCACTGGGAGGAACTTTCTACAAATTGCTCAAATGGTGACAACTTGCTCAACTTGCATTAAACTTTGAGTTACAATATCTAAATGACGAGGCAGAGCAGCAGCACAGAAGGCAAAAAATAAGTAAATCTAGATCCAAAATGTTCATGGACATCCTGCCCCATACGCCTAAAGATCTGTAGGTTGATAATCTTCCTGTTCAATCACATGAAAAACCACAGCATGTACTCATCCTGAGTACACATCATTCTCAAATTGAGGGACAGTCGATCACGAGAGAGAGGATACAAATCTCAAACAAATCCCAAACGCATCTAAAATGGGGCTCGAAAATAGTTTGGGATTGGAATAATTGGAATGTGGAATTATCTGCCATAAACTATCCCCATAAACTTCTGTTATTCTTAAATTTATTACACAGCATAGAGATATAAGGTTTGGCAAGTGACATCAAGGTGCAAGGAAGATTGAGAAAAAATATTGAAGACAATATTAGGAAAGGGATATTAGAGGCTTTACAGAGCATGTGGGATAGACAAGGTTAAGTTGGATAATGAAGAGCATGGGAAGTAAACAGAAGAGTGGTGTTTGACTCACGAGGACAGTAACACGTGTGAAAAGAGTGCAACATTACTAATGAATAGAAAGCAAGCAGGAGACCAGCATTAGATGAAGTAGGATATTAGCAAGCAAACACCATGACTACAGGGTTGTGTTGTACTAATTGGCGTTAACGAATATGTGGAGTGAGGAGAGAGGAATTAGACTGGAGGCTTTATGGATACGATATAGTGTGTTCAGAGGAATGTCTGATGGCTGCACTGCCATTCCTACCTGCAACAAAGAGTTTCATCAATAAAACACTTGCTTTGAGAGAGTACTATACAGTCAGAGATCATATCTTCTGGTCACAGTGTTAAATAAAGACCCTGACCTCAAAAAGCTGGATGCCAAGCTACCCCTGGCCCTATTTTGTAGAACTAGTGTCCTGACAGCTATTTCTCCTTCATCCAACACTTGTTATTTTAGCATTAATCGCATTACTGTTTGTGAAAATTTGTCAATTGTACAAAGGCTGCTGCATTTTTTCAACATTGATGAACACACTTTCAACAGTAATTAACTCGCAATGTTCATACACGCCAAGGTCAAGAGGAACATTATATAGAATACAAGCACTTTCTGCTTTGACTTTCTACCATAGAGGATATTGGGACTTTCTGCAAAGTGGAAATACATTGAATCAGAAGAAAGGTCAGCAAAATCACATACAACCTAAATTTATAAAATGGGGCACTTCTGTTGGTTTCTTCTGTTGCAACCTCTCATCTATCTAAAACTGAGCGGGATTGAGCAAGTCTCTCAGAAACCAGTGCACAGGGCTTAAAATTCATGCCGAACATAATTTCTATTTTTAATTTGTAATTTTAAAATTCTTGACTGTGCTACCATAACCTTAAACACAACACTTTAATAACCGTTCTATATTTTTCACACAGGAGCTAGCGAATGTGCCTCTTTCTCTCGAAGTAACAAAAAAAAAGTGGAGGAAGAAAAAAGTCCAATAACTTTAGGGTCTCAACACCTTCTTCCATGTCCTTTAACCACCTCCACATCCCTGTCACTGTGATCAGTTACCATCAGTTTTGAGGAAGGGTCACTGGACTTGAAACATTAAATCTGCTTTCTCTCCAAACCCGAGTTTCTCCCGCAATTTCTGGTTTTGATAAAGAATTAGAGGATTTCTTCAATGTTTGAATGCAAGCTGCAGTCAGATTCCAAAACACTCCCAGCACACACACATACCTTTGCAGTAAATTAGTTGGCAATGCAATACTGCCACCTGGTGCCAGCACTATTCAGAAAACCAGGCATAACAGCAGTTACCTCATTCTACTGAGATATCCAAACAAGTAATCTGGTCTAATGATGTAGTGAACACAATGCATAAGGATGATTTTAAAACATTAATTAATGGGATGTGGGCTAGGCCAGCATTTATTACCCAACCCTAATTGCCCAGAGGGCAGTTAAGAGTCAATCACATTGCTGTGGGTCTGGAGTCACATGTAGGCCAGACCAGGTAAGGATGGCAAGGACATGAGCGAACCAGATGGGCTTTTCAAACAATGACTTCATGGTCATCATTAGACTCTTAATTCCAGATTTTATTGAATTCAAATTCCACCATTTGCCACGGCAGGATTCAAACCCAGGTCACAGAACATTAGCTGGGTCTCTGGATTAACAGTCTAGTGATAATACCTCTAGACCATTGCCTTCATCTCATTCCAGAGTATGGGTCCTGACAGCACTTGGCAAGGCCTGGTTCTAGCTTAGCACTGGCACAGCTCTGTCACTTGAACTATTAAACTTGTTCGACCACTATTTGGCATTAAAACAGAATTGTAAGAGTTGGAATGCAACCTATAAAATGCATCTGTATCTATTTCAGAATTCAGACTGCGAAGAAAGCCTGAAGAATAGAGGAAGTGCTGAATCAGCTCAAATACCCTTAGCACTGACAGCTACACACTTCCATCTCCAAGCTAGAGTTACAAAATGAAATAGGGATGACTACAACATTCTACGATTACAAAACTTAATTTCTTATACACCAACATTGCAGAGCCTGATGGCACCGCTTTCTCCTCCTTTTATGTTACCTTGAATCGTGAGACGAATCTGGAGAATTCCTGATGCCAGTTGTTAAGTGTGGAGGCAGGAGAGATGATTAGAAATGGACCCCAGATATTTTCTCTCTGCACAAGAATCAAGTCAATCAATAAAAGTGCACTAAATTCAGCTGAACAAATTGGTTAGTCAAAAGACTGATTTTTTTTGTGTTAAAAGGATTCAATAGCCTCCACCTCAAGTACATGTATTTGAATCACAGTGCTGACTGAGGTGTTTGCACAAATGCAGCAGACCAACAGCATAACACAAATTGTGCAGTTTACAAGTCAACCACAAATTTCAAGTTACTTTTGGAAGTGAGCCTACAAATATGGGAACTGCAGAAATGGAGATGGGACATGAGCAAAAGGGAGTGTTCTTAGCATAAATTTGGAAGAAGGCAGTGTTGAAGTTCTGGACGAACAGCCAAATCGGTTCCAGCCGGTGTACAAATATCTGATTTAGATTTGAGCTCAGTTCTGGCTATTTAAACATTCACAGCCTGCGCAACCAGAAAAGGCTGTTCAATCAGCTCTTATATTGGGGTGAGGGATTAGGCAAGCATTGCGGATTAGGGTGGACATCGTCTGCAGAAAATATAGCACAGCAGTTTGAATTTCAAATTGCGAAGCATTTGCTTGTGATTGAAGGTAGGTCTGTCTGAACCAGGACCTTAGATTAGCATATTATACCCATGGCCATCTGTACATCATGATTTAAAAAAAGATTGTGCAAGGAGGGTTTCAATGCAGCCTCTTTTCAAATGATTGGACATTGTTGGAGTGCGCTTACACTGTGCCTACCCACAGAACATAGGAAGGCAGTGTAGAGACAGCTTGACTTTACATGTGGTCCTTATTATACCCGAACCAGTCAGTTTTTACAAATATCAGATGCCTATGTCAAATTTATGCCAAATGACAGCAGGTGATCTACAGTATTGGATGAAAGGGCATGGTGGTAATTGTAACGTATTATAAGTTAAAGAGAAGTTAAAGTATAAGAGGAAAAAAATAGCAAAGGTGAGGCTCCTTACAATTAGTTACACTTGCTAGTGAAAGTTATCTCAAGCTCTGTTGCTCAAGAGCAAGAAATTGCCTCCATGCAGCAGTTTTCTGTGATGATTCAAAACTCAAAACTCATAGATCTCACCTCAGCTAAATGCGCCAAGAAAGCAATACTCTGTACTGTCTTCCCAAGTCCCATTTCATCAGCCAGAATTCCATTAATACCCTGAAAGCAAAAGAAAATTTAAATCAAGATCAAGCCATATGGAGACAGACATGTTTGTACTCACAGGCATTCAAAGTTAAGGCAGCCAGGTCTTCATTCAAACAGGTGCTATGAAATAGTACATAAATATACAAGCAATGATATCCCAAAATTTGGAGTTAGTTGTTATGGTTAGTGAGACACTCAAGTCCTGTGCAACACAACGATAAATTTTAGGTTTGGAAATGGTGCAACTACTTTGAATTATCTTCTTCATGAAAAGAAAACCCTTCAAATCAGTCAATGTTACTGCAAGAGGCCAAATGGTCCTGAGTGCATCATAGTGTTCAGGGATGTGTAGCTTAGATGGGTTATGGGGGATGGGTCTGGATGGGATGCACCGAGGGTCGGTGTGGACTTGTTGGGCCGAAGGGCCTGTTTCCACACTGTAGGGATTCTATTCTATTCTATTCTACAAGTATAGCCATTCAAAATTAGTGGGGAGAAACCACGAAATGCCATCTGCATCATGCTGATGAAACACACTGCCAATCCTCATAGCCTATCAGGCACAATAGTGCGGTGAATCAGATTCTTGCTACTACTAAAGAAAAGAATCTCAGTTACATGCACACGGACGGATTTTACCTGTTCATAAAGGTTGGCCAGCCAATTCATGCCTTTCAATTGGTAGGCCTTAAGCTTGCCATTGAACATGGAAGGCTGAGGAATGTCTTCACCAGCCCGAATCGAAGGGTTGGCCAAGCTGTAACTCTCCCCAAAACCAGTCCCGGACTCATTGGCTGCCCGTAGTGCAGCCATGCGGCTCTCCTTTGCTTCCTCATCGAACAATCTGGTCTGAAAGCAAAAGTACATACAATAATGGTCAGCTGTTATGTTGAAGAGTGCAGTTTTAAGAGGAAAAACTTATTATGAACTTAATGCTGTTGTGGACACAACCATCTATAGCAAGACTCTCAGTGCATGATTCAGAATTTTAATCAGTTGTCACACTGCCTGCTGGGAGAATAAAATATCTGTGAAAGGTTAAAAAAAACTCAAAAACCACACCTTCCATAATAGATTCAGATAATCTCTTTCAGCCAGTAGAGGCTTTTCATTCTAATTTTACTCTCACATTTGGCCAATATAGTTGAGCGTAGAACATTAAAAAGTAGATCTGTTACAGCACAGTTAGGTGTAATTTTCCAAGTAGGAAATAGCGGAGTTAATGTTTCGGGTCCAGTGACCCTTCCTCAGAACACAGTTCTGAAGTAGGGTCACCGGACCTGAAACATTAACTCCACTATTTCCTTCACAGATGCTGCCAGACCTGCTGGAATTTTCCAGCAACATTGTTTTTGTTCTTGATTTACAGCATCCGCAGTTCTTTTGGTTTTTATAATTTTCTAAGTGCTAAGTTATAAACTTTGTTCATTAATGGAGAAAGTCCATGAACAGAAAATGAACCAGCAGAGTGAACTCATCGCAAACAAATCCCTTCCACATCACAGAAAAGCCAGTGTAATCCTCTCTTATTGTACCAAGGTACTATTTTCCAAAAGTAGAGACAACTGAAGGTACCGCTGTCCACAAGATTAGGGATATCAATACGACTTGGCACACAGGCAGGTTGACACAAGGCACCAGTGCAGGAAAATACACTCCCTCCTGGAATAAGGCAAATACAGATTACAAGACTTCTTTCTTCTTCAGCCATGATTCTTCCATTTCCCAATGGCTTTTCATTCTCCACATCCTCCAATTCATCCTTGATAACATTAAATCTCTCCTGCACATCACCCACACCTCTGACAGATGAATTTAATGTGTTGGAGACAGAAAATCAAAGTCCTTCATCTGCAAACGTCTTCCACCTATCCACTGCCTTAAATTTCCCTTCTTGCTTTCTGCTATTCTTTTAAGTCCAACTTTACATAACCCCAGCTTGAGCCTTTGTATCAATTCATTGCACTCTTTGCAACTCCCCACTTACACATGTTCACCTCTCCATTTCTTCCTTGTCCTACCTGAAGACTTTTTTTTTAAAAAAACAGAGCTTTCAATCATCATTTTAATCTTTGTTTCTTGGCATTGCAACTGTTTGCCTACATGCTTCCAAAGGCACATGATAAAGTGCTGTACAAAGGGTTTGCAAGCTAAGTTAGAGCTCATGGACAACGGCAGCAAAGAGGAAGAATTGGTCAATGGTAGTTTCTTGGACTAGAGAAATATTTAAAATGGAATTGTCAAAAGAATTTGTTTTTGAATTTGTTCACAGAATATGGGTATTATTGACTAGGCTAGCATTTATTGTATGCCCCCAATTCCACTTCAGAAGGTGGTGAGCTGCCTTCTTGAACTGCTGCCATCCTCAGGGTGTAGAAAAATCTGAGGGAAGGAGTTCCAGGATTTTGGACCAGCTGCATTAAGGGAACAGTGAAATAGTTCCAAATCAGGATGGCTGGTGGCTTGGAGGGGAACATACAGATGGTAGCATTTACATAGATGTGCTGCCTTGTCCTCATAGGTGGTAGAGGTTTTGATTTGGAAGTTACTGTTGAAGGACTTTTGAGAGTTGCTGCAGTGCAACTTGTAAATGGCACACACCGCTGTTGCCATTATTTGTCAGTGGTGAAGGGAATGAATATTGAAGGTGGTAGATGAAATACTAATCAAGTGGGATGAAGAGAGAATGCTGGAGAAACTCAGCAGGTTTGGCTGCATCTGTGGACAGACAAACCTTAATGTTTTTAAGTCCAATATGACTGTTCCTTGAAATTCAGTCCCCAGCATCAGTCTCCTTATTTAAGGAAGTTTGCAAATGCCCTGGAAGCAGAGTTCTAGAGGTCTACAATACAGGAAAAGGCTCTTTAGCCCATCTCACCTGTTCCAGTCAAAAACAACACCTAAATCTTCTAATCACATTTTCCACCAGTTGGTACACAGTCTTGTCTGGCTTGGCATCACAGGTGAATATCTAAATACTTCTTAAATGTTCCAAGGGTTTCTGCTTCTCCCACGCTTACAGCCAATGAGTTCCAGATTTCCACCACCCATTCCCTCTAAACCTCCTGCCTTTTATCTTAAATCTCTGTCTCTTGGTCATTGATCACTCCACCTCGGAAAAAAGTTCCTCCCTGTCTATGCCCCTTAATTTTGTACATCTCATCATATCCTGCCTCAGTCTCCTCTCCTCCAAAGGGAAAAAAACCCAAATCTTTCTTCATGGCTGAAACTGCCTAGCCCAGGCAATATCCTAGTAAATCTCCTCTGCACTCTTTCCAGTGCTGTCACATCCCCCCAGTAATGTGGATGTCAGAACTGCACGCTCTACACTAGCTGTGGCCTAACCAACGTTCTTAAACGGTTTACAAACTAATTCCTGGAATGGGTAGGGTGTCGCTCCCATTTGCTACAATAACTTTTTGTCTCGTGAGAGAAGGCAATCTCACCTCATGTTCAGGACAGGCCAAATTTAAAGCACAAACAAACCCCCAACCTGATAATAAATTAGTAAATTGACTTTTATGTTGCAAGATGGCTCCATGGTCAGAGTAATAACAGTAAGTAGAATGAATTCTTGCAACTGAAGCAAAGATGCTTTGCTGCAGCAGCGTAAAGATGGTGGCATTTAGTGGCTATAACGAAGTGCCTCATGCTGACAAATGGTGCCCCAAGTGCATATCAAATGCATTACCAAACACCCGTATGACTCATTCCTGATCAGTGAACTAGTACAAATTTACATTCTGTGCTGCTTCAAAACAGATCAGGTGAAATTATAGCACAAAACAAAACAAACTCATTACTGTTAAAAATGGCATGCACTTCAGGGACTAGGCTAGGAGATGAACAAGTGGAACACAATCTTCAATATAGTTAAAACTTGAGCCACTCACTTTGGCTTGCTGTACTCGAAAAGCATCCTCTGCATTCTTCAGTGCCTGTGCTTTGTAGTATTCACTATCTGCAAAACAGAAAATAATGCACACATTAAGACAAAGGTGCATAGTGAAGCCCTTACTGGAGTTCGGGTTGGTTAAAAAGGGGCCAGTTCACCTTGTTGGTTATCTAGGACAGTGCTTCTCAACCAATGGGGCACATCCCTCTGTTGGAATGTGAAGTTCATCAAGGTGGGGGATATAGTGTCATAATTAAGAATGAAACAAAAAGGCATTGAGATAAGAATTAAGATATTATTGTTGATATATATATGCATTTGCTACTCAATTGTCAGTGGACGAGAACGAATATGTTTGAACATACAGATGGTTTGGCAGTGGCATTCCTAAGATATAGGGAGCTTGCAGGTGGCACCAAGGTTTTTTGACAACTGCTCGGTGGCATACAAAATGTAGAATGTTCAGAAGAGCTGACCTGGACATTCAGATGGGATGTGCAACTACATCTTTGAACCTTAATCCAAGATCAGCAGAGAACCAAGATGTGACCCTTTAAAGTATTCTATCGTACAACTCAATGTCAGAGAGATCGCAAAGAATTGATCAAATTAGAGGACAACAATAGGCTCAAGTTATTGTTAGAGATATGAGAAATACTTCCACCACAATCCACAAGCTCATCACCTCTGGCTTCACTTGCACCTCTCCCAACTCTGTCTCAGATAGCTCCACTCTAATCTCAACCCCTCTTACCTCAGATTACCATCCACCTCAACTGCACTCGTTACCTCATCCACCACTTCACCTTCCTGCACACCCCTAACCCTTGGCTTCACCTTGACGTAAGAAATAGTGATATCTTGAAATGTGTTGGTATTACAGAAGAGGTTTTTTTTTGTGCTGGCTGTCTTAAAATGCATAAAGATGGATAAACTCCCAGGACCTGATGAGGTGTATCCCAGACTTTGTGGGAAGCTAGGGAAAAGATTACTGAACCCCTTGCTGAGATATTTGTATTACCGATAGCCACGGGTGACATGCCAGAAGACTACAGGTTGGCTAATATCGTGCCATTATTTAAGAAAGGTGGTAAGGAAAAGCTAGGGAATTATAGACCGGTTAGCTGGACATCAGTGCTGGTTACATTGTTGGAGGGGATTCTGAGGGACAGGATTTACATGTTTTTGGAAAGGCAAGAACAAATTAGGGATAGTCAGCATGATTTTGTGCGTGGGAAATAGTATCTCACTAACTTGATTGAGTTTCTTGAAGAAGTAACAAAGAAAATGGATGAAGGCAGAGCAGTAGACATTGTTTTGTATGCACTTCAGCAAGGGATTCGACAAGTTTCCGCATGGTAGACTGGTTAGCAAGGTTAGATTATATGGAATCCAGGCAGAGCTAACCAAGTGGATACAAAATTGGCTCAAAAGGTGACAGATGGTGGTGGTAGAGGGTTACTTTTCGGTCTGGAGGCCTGTGACCAGTGCTGGGTCCACTGCTTTTTGTCATTTATAAAAATGATTTGGATGTGAATACTGAAGGAAATGGTTATTAAGTTTGCAGGTGACACCAACATTGGTGGTGTGGTGGACAGTGAAGAAGATTGCCTTGGAGAACAGCAGGACGTTGATCAGATGATCCGAGCAGTGGCAAATGGAATTTAATTTAGATAAATGGAAGGTTTTGGTAAGGCAAATCAAGGCAGGATTTATACACGTCATGGTAGGGCCATGGGGGTGTGTTCCCAAACAAAGAAACTGAGGGGTGCAGGTGCACAGCTCCTTGAAAATGGAGTCGCAAGTGGATTGGGTGATAAACAAGGCATTTGACATGCTTGCCTTCATTGGTCAATGCATTCAGTACAGGAGTTGGAATGTCATGTTGCAGCTGTACAGGACATTGGTGAGGCCACTTTTAGAATACTGCATTCAATCTTATCTCCTGCTGTAGGGAAGATATTGTTAAACTTGAAAGGGTTCAGAAAAGATTTGCAAGGATAATGCCAGGATTGGAGGGTGTGAGCTATACAGACAGGCCAAACAGGCTTTTTTCACTGGAATGTTGTAGGCTGAGTGGTGACCTTATAGAGGTTTATAAGGTCCTAAGGGGCGTGGATAAGGTCAATAGCCAAGCCAAACCAAGGTTAGGCGAGTCCAAATCTAGACAGCATAGGTATAAAGTGAGAGGGGAAAGATTTACAAAGGACCTGAGGGGCAACTTTTTCACACAGAGGGTAGTGTGTGTATAGAACATGCCGCCAAAGCAAGTGGTAAAGGCAGGTACAATTACGATACTTAAAAGGCATCTGGATGGGTACATTATCAGGAAGGGTTTAGAGGGATATGGACCAAAAGCTGGCAAGTGGGACTAGGTTAATTTAGGATATCTGGTCAACATGGATGAGTTGGACCAAAGGGTCTGTTTCTGTGCTACATATCTGATTCCATAAATATATGGACAGAATTCTGCAGGAATTAGGAAATGATGCACACTGAGCTTGAGGAGAAAGGAAGGGCATGGTGAGGTGAAGACGGGAAACTAAAATCATGACTGAAAAGGAAAATATTGAGGTGGTTTCATAAAGCAGATTTGAGCTGGCAAGGTACGAAAGAATAAGTAGAGAATTCCTTAGGGTATTAGTGTACTAATTAAACAAATCATCACCAATGTTAAGAGTACAGGGACCAAAAATTCAAAGGAAAATCTGACTGATAGGTTTTAAGATTTAGGACCCTCAGTATGGTTTGAAATCAGTCATAAAGCAATTTAAAAACAAGAGCAACAAACTTGGACGTAAAGAATAAAACAATGTCAAAAATATTAACCCAAGCAAAACTCTATTTGATTGAAAATCAGAACAGTACTCTCAGTATCCAAGGGAGAACAGGTACGGAGTTGAATGGGACATTCCATTGGGGCACCCAGGGCCCAGCTTGTGTACCTTCTAACAGCGGTCTATTGACAGAGCACTTCTGTGACACATGAAATGCAAAGATTCATGGTTAAAAAGCAAGTATGTAAACTACACATACATTAAAAGGCTGTAAATGACCATATACACATTCAGGTACACGCAGTAAGATTTCAACATGATAATAATTTATCTGTTACACTCGGTCTTCTCTGGACAGTTTAACTCTTATTGATGAAGCTGCGGGGTCAGGAAAAGGAGAGAAAAATGCTCTCAACTTGAATTCCCAATCCAAGGATAATCTCCCATTTGGTGGATTCCCTTACAGCCTTTTTTTAAAAATTTTTTTACAACCTGCATACTTCTGTTGCAGTGTAGCTTGTTTCAAAGTTAGTTTTTATTAATTTGCACACATTGGTCGCCAGCTGCGTGCTTGGTTCTGTAAAAATGAGGCTGTTCACCAACCCCTCAAAAAGAAATGCACTGAGTATCAAGGATGAAAGGTTCAACTTGTGAAACAGTGGAGCCAATAAATACATGTAAGCTTTTGGTCATTCTTGGGTTTAATAACTCCACAGTTTAAACTTCTATTCAGTGATTCACCATGGCTCAGGATACCTTACTCAGTATCAAGCAACCTGCATGCCTTCTGAACTAATTTGTCTGGGGTCATCACCAGGGTTAAACCTTAGACAGAAATAGGAAGGTACATTTTAAACGGGATACAGAGAACCGGGAACGGCAAAAACTTTCAAATACAAGATAGTGAATTGCTGTTATCCGAAATGCTGTCCTTATAAGGATGCTTAAAGATGTTTTAGTAACATTCACAAAATCGTACAAGTGTTATGGCACAGAAAGGGGCCATTTGGGCCATCTGGGCCATCATATCTGCATTGACTCTCTTGTACAAACATCAAGAATTACTGTCAGTTTCTGGTCTTTTCCCCTTACCCTTGCATTGCTTCCACTTCAATAATCATCCAATGTCCCCTTGGATACCTCAACTGAACCACATGTGAAAGAGTTATTTTCTCACTTCACATTTGCTACAGTAGTTAGGTCCAACTGAGTGGCTTGCTCAGTCACTTCAGAGGCTGGGTTAATAGTTCTTGTGCTTTAGGAGTGATATGTAGACCAGATCAGGTCTGGATGGCACATTTCCTTCCCTGAAGAAAATTAGTGAACCAGACAGGTTTTTATGACAACCTACATAGCTGTCCTTGGGTTACATTTATATGCCAGATTTTTGTTTTACTGATTTCAAATTTCATCATCAAGCATGGTGGGTTTCAAACTCATGACCCCAGAACATTAATCTGTGTTCTTGATAATCGTCCAGTAACATTAGCTACCTTGTAACTGTCTCTCCTTCAAAAGAGAATTGTGCACACATTTCAAAGCAAAGAAAAATTTAATGGAAAAATTACATGGGAAAATTATGGGGAAAGAGGAGAGCAGAATTAGTTGGATAGTCCTATAAGAGAGCCAACACAGACATGATTAGCTGAAGGCATTCATCAGACAAACTGTTCTTTACCACTGTTTCACTTTCTACAGAACAGTCTCAATGCATGTTCAGCTCTGATGACAAGGTGCAGCTGACTTTCTTACTTAACTTGTTTCTTTGGGTGCATTTTGTGAAAGAAGAAAAATTTGCTAAGTCACATCAATATGTTTCGGCGCCAGATTTTACTTGCTGGCAAGTGTGAAGAGGACTTGTAATATAGTGCATAGTCAAAGTTAGGGCAGGCGTGCTGACCACTGCATAATCACAGACCCATGTCAAGACCACTCTGTGCGTAAATTAAAATCCCAGGCTTTCTACTTTATTCTTGTATCCTAACATTCCTGCCTGCTTTATATTCTACAGCAAGCGCAGGCCTGATTGACTATGCAGCTTAAAGAATCTGGAAAATGGGTTTATGATCTCCGTACAGGCTCTGAACAGGATGGTCAACAATGGGGATTCGTAAAGATTTGTCTCCTTTTACCAATCCTATAATTCCTCAGGCTCTCAAAAAACCAAGGAAAATTACAACCAGCTATCTGGTCAGGTATCTGCCTTTAGCCCATTAGCCTATCTAATACTACTACTTCAGTTATGGTACTTAATTCCTCCCCAGTTATTCTTTAGTATTAATGGTACGTTCAACGTATCCTCCACATAAAGACTGATGCCAAATATATTGTTCAACTCTTCTGCCATTTCTTTGTTCCCCCACGACCATCTCCCAGATTAATTTTCTAAGGAGCCTATGTCCACTTTAGACCTCCACCTTGGTTTTTATGTATTTAAAGAAGCTCGTCAGTTTTTATATTCCTCACTAGTCTGCCTCATAGTTTATTTTCCCTTGCTTCATTATCTTTTTAGTCCTCCTCTGTTGGATTCTTAATTTATCCCAGTCTTCGAGGCTATCACTGACTTTTACCCCCTTTTTTCATTTAACACTCTCCTTAATTTTCTTTGTTAGCCATGGTTGGTTTATCCCTCTTAGTATCTTTCCTCCTTTTTGGGATGCATTTTTGCTCTAAGTCATGTATTACCTCCTTAAATGTCTGCCATTTCTTCCCTGTTCTTGATCCTCATTTCATTACAATTCCCTTTAAGTTAACCAGCTGTTTCCAATCTAAGTGTCTCACTACCAAATTGAAGGTTAAATTCTATGATGTTATGATCACTGCTACCTCATTATCCAATATCAGATCAAAAATAGCCCGCTCCCTGGTGGGCGCATGATATATTGGTCTGGGAAATCATCCCTAATGGACTCTGAATTCATTATCATAGCTACCGTTGCCAACTTGATTCACCCAATCAACATGGAGATTAAAGTCATCCATAATTATAGCTCTAATCTTTTAACATGCGCCTATTATTCATTGATTTATATCTTTTCCTACAGTGTGGCTACAGCTTGGTGGGGTGGGATCTACACACCACTACTACCCTAATGCCTGGGATGTTACATACCTCCACCCAAATGCAGCCTACATCAACGAAGCCTTGAACATCTCTCAACTGTCCTGATTTCATCACTTATTAACAGTGCTGCCACACCAACTTTCCTTCCCACCTGTCTTTCTATATGAAATAGCTTCCCAGATACCTAGCTCATTAAGCCCTCTACCAAAATTTTAGATATTACAATGAAAATCACATCTCGTTCTTCTAAACTTTCTGGAATATAATCTACTTGGAGGAGCAGGTTACAAGGATTGTTGTGCTGAGTGCATGTTGAAGCCCACTTTCTCTCAAATCACATGTAAACTGAGAAACAAGGTATGGTCAAGGCAGGTCACGAAGAATCTTATCCCCAGAAATTACTAGCTAATGTTGCTTTTTCTCCAGAATCTTCCTTTAGGAGCACTATTCTATAAGAAGGAGACATTTTCATGAAGATCTCCACACATTTCACCAATCATGAAGCTATCAATCAGAACAAGATGTAGTAGACTACTGCTTATTGAGCATGAGTTAGGGCTATGGCAGTTTGAGCAAGATGTTATTTCCAAAACATTACATTCTTGCAGTACCTTGCTCCTATCCTGAATGGGCAGATATTTACAAGAACATCGTTTCACAAGCATTGCACTCCCACAACATGCCACCAATAGTGTTATTCTTCATTAAGGAGTCTTCACAATGAAGAAACAGTTTCCAGTTGTCGTCTTTAGGTACTGAGCCATACCTGAAAGCTGTTTTGATAATTTGTATTTATTTGATAACGAGATATTGGAGGCTCATGAGGAAAATCAAGGAAATGCAGCCACATAAAAAAGGGATTATCTAAGACAGGAAACAATATGGGGAAAGCAAGTCTTTAAGGTAAGAAAGTGAGGTTAACTCAAGGTTCTATTGCGCCCTCAGAAGTTGATATCAAAAGGTTTGAAAGCACCATGGTGAACAGCAGCATAGAGGTCTGCATGTTGGTCAAACACACACACCCCTTACTTACAGGATCTTACTGAACCAAATGCACATATTTCCATCATTCTTACCATAATCCTCCTGACTGACATTAACCATCACACCACCTCCAATGTCAATCTGTCTGAAGATCACACTGTCATCCAGCTTCATCAAGATTTCCTCCTGCAAGGCGTCATTTCCAGAAGCTCGCTTCCGGCTCATGAAGTGAGCATACAGCTCTGTTTGCGTGATAAGGAAATTCAACTTCCGCTGCTGTCTTTTTGCCTATGGGTCAACAAAAGCAGGTTTTAAAAGTTGTCTAATAGTGATGAGTAAACACTGAGAAGACGGCTTCCCAGAATACACAAAGCTCAAAGTTGCAGCATCATGTGAAAGGAGAAGCGTTTGGAACATCTATAAAAGGTAATTTGCATGACCATCTAATCTTTCCTCATCTGTTCATCACAGGAAACAGGTTGATGAATGAGCCTTAATTGACAAGTATATGTTTTCTTGGACAAGGTGACTAAACTGCACATGATACTCTAGGTGAGGTCTCCCCCAGGCTTGATATAATTGCTGAAAGTCCTCTTGTAATAAAAGCCAATATTTACCTCAATCGCTTGCTACACCTGCAGTAAACTTTCAATGACTCAGGAGTCCTTGTTCACGAGTCCCTACGAATGGTCACACCACTTAAGGAACTCACTTTCTACTTGTCCGAAGTTGACAACTTCAACACTTCTTTACATTGCACGCCATCTACCAAATTTTTGCCTACTCACTTTGATTCTCCAAATCCACATCAACCATCTTGCACCTAGTTCTGTGCCATTGTGAGTTCAGAAATGTTACATTGAATCTTCCACTTCAATCATTTATTTAGATTGCCATCGTCCAATAGCATAATCCATTCGAAGAGTTCCATCACATCAGTGAGATCATAGGGAATCTATAGATCTCTAACTGGTCATAAATCTTTCCCATCTAATATCCACAAATAAACTCCTTACAACCCATGTCAACCCACAGGCTTGTAATTTTCAGGGTTTGATTTTCCTCACTTCAATAGTAGGAGCAAATAAACCATTCTACATCTTATTTGGATCACTAAAAAAAATTGGATTGTGGAATAGATAGAGTAGCAGCTCACACTAAACCTCCCTTTATGCTTAGGCAAACAAAATCATTTACAGAAATCCCAGATCAGATCAGATCAGATCTGGAGTACTACATTTATGCATCACAGCTGAGTATGGCTTAAATAGCCTTGGACAAGGTGTTGTGTGCAGATTTACCAAAACAAAATCAGTGCTCAAATGATTAGATTATGGGGATAGACTGCACAAATTATCTTATATTTGATAGGATTAAAAATGAGTTCCATTACCCAGAATAAAAAGCAAACTCTTGAAATTACAGCAACAGGGGTGATGTCAGGAAGCAATTTTTCAGGTAAGTACTGGTGGAAACATGGTATTCTCTCCAAACGACTGACATAAAATTTTTGTTCAGCAAGTACACTAAGGGATCCAAAAACAGCAAGGAGATAGGAGCCAGGAAAATATTTGATTAAATGGACCAACAACTGCTCTTCTATGTCCATATGAACACCACAATAAGACCACCACACACCCTTAAAAATTCAAGGCAATACAAACCAGCTTTAAGCAACCTTTTCTTACTTTAACTCTTTCAGACCTTAGTATCATTTGAAAGGGAGTTCCAGGCTACCGGTCTTTGTTGTCTGGCTGGTTAAAAGCATATTGACGCCTGACAAAATTGGCCAGAAACAGCACAAGTGATGTATCTACTTCTCTATCACAGAAATTTGTCCTCTGATAATTGCTCTATCAAGAGTAAAATACCAGGAAAAAGTTCTCTAACCTCGCGCATCTCTTCATCAAGTTTTCGCTGTTCCAGAGCTTCTTTCTCTGCTCGCTTTCGATGTTCCTTCTCTACTTTGTCATATTTTTTCCAGTACAAAAGCATCTCTTTGGTTAGCCTCCGGGCTCGAGGCAGCGTTTCTTTACAGTTTTTCTGTGCCTGGATAGCAGCCCTCCGTACCTCTCGCATACATTGGTGAGCGAGCTGAGGTCAGACAACAATACAAGATATTTGAATCAACACATTCAATAATTCAAATTATAGTAGAACGTAGTGAGCTACCATTAACTATGTGCTACAAGCTGTTGATTGCTCAGTCACATACACTGACCTCACCTTGTGTATACCTTCACTTCAAACTGTCGTATTCTGTTCAAGCTACTGGTCTTTGATATCTCAAAATCCTTTTAACCATACAAGACCATAAAAACAGAAAGCCCAGTGCACCAAAACCTGCAAGGGCTGCTGCTTCAATTCTCTAATTGACACTGAAATGCTCTCGCTTTCCCTCGTGACTTGTGTACAGCCCATTAATTTACCACCAATTTTAAATATTTCACTGCAGGTTAGTCCTACCTTCTTGGTGTTGGTGAGGATCATGTTCCGAGCAGAGGACTTCTGTTTGTAGACCTGCAATGAAAGTACATACTAGTCATTCCTCAGCAAAATATATGAGCACAGCATAACCATCAAGGCCAGACCAGAATAAATTGAACCAAAATCCCCAAGTGCAAACTCATCCTCCACGAGAGTCACCATGGTTACAGCACAGAAAGAGGCTTTTTAGACGATCATAGTATACTTACAGACCAAACGACCAATTCGTCAAGTGTTCTCCTATCTCGAGAAAGGCTCATTGCTTTGTTTGGTGTTTTTGTTTCTTATCCCATCTGTACAGGGTCTAAAATGTTAAGGATATACCTGTACCTATTTCTATAATCAACCTGTTCAGAGATGTTATTACACATCTCGAAGCGGTGGGACTTGAACCTAGGCCTCCAGGTCCAGAGGCAGGGACACTACCACTGCAAGAGGGCATTTTGTTTTGTTTTGTCTTGTCATGATTTCAGTGTGGCTATCATGAGCTTAGTTTCATTCTGCAATTTCTGATCATCTGTTGTGAAAGCGCTCTCTTTTCCCAGGACTCCATCTGACGATAATGGGAATCGTAGCAAATTACTTACTTTCCCAACCCCCCCCCCCCAATAGGATGTGAGCATTGTTGGCAAGATCAGCTTTTATTGCCCACCCGTAACTGTCTTTCAGAAGATGATGGTGAACCATCTAATTAAACTGCTGCAGTCCAGCTAGTGTCACTACACCTGCAGTGTTGTTAGATTAGAAGCTCTGATTTTGCCCCAGCAAGTGAAGGAATTGCAACCATGCTGAACATTAACACTCCCACTTCTGACCTTATGTTGGAAGGAATGTGATTGATGAAAAGAGGATGGTTGGACTTAAAGCCACAACCCAAAGGAACTCTTGCAGTGATGTCAGAACTGAAATGGTTGGCCTCCAAACACCATCTTCCTGTGCTAGATATAACTCCATCCAGTGCAGAATGTCCTGACTGCCATCCACTCCAATCTTGCTCTGGTTCCTTAATGCCAAATGCTGCCTTGGTGACAAGGGCAGATGCAATCATCTCGAGTTCAGATCTTTTATCCATGTTTGGAACTGGGCCGAGCGGGTTGGTGGAACCCAAACCAAACATCAGACAGCAGATTATTAATTTCCATCCAGAAGTCGGGCTATTGTGGAGGGTTCAGTAACTTTCACAATTTCTCTTATATTGAAATGGCCATGTTTATACGGAGGAGGATCTGTCAAGAACTGATATGAGGCAATTGCACTGCACAAGCACGATGACCACTCCGACAAGACTGAATCAAATTAACTATTTCCCCTTAAAGTTCAACAGCATTATTATCCTGCACTGACATCCTGGGCGCTTACCACTGACCAGAAACTGAAGTGGACCAGCTTATAAATATTGCGTACACAAAAGAAAATCAGAGATTAGGAAGTCGGCAGGATGTAACTCATCTCTCGACACCCCAAAGCTTGCCTAACATCTACAAAGTGTGATAGGATACTCTCTATTTACTTGCATGGTGTAAATCCAACACCAAAAGGCTTAATATTATTCTGGACTTAGCTGCTTGTCCGACTGGCAACCCTTCCATCACCTGCAAAATTCACTCTTCCACTGCTCACGGACAATGGCAGCAGTGCATACCATGTACAAGATGCACTGAAACTTGTCAAACTTTGTTTAAGATCAAGTTCAAAAATCTCTTAAAAACTGGAAGGACAACTGCATCAAATAGGAACATAGAATACAGGAGCACAAGTACGCCACTTGGTCCTTTGGGTCTGCTCTGCAATTCCAAATGATCCTGGCTAATCAGTACTGTTCCTGCTTCTCCCAATTTACTTCGATCCCTTTATTCCTAACTATCGACATC